CCCCCCTCTCCACCTTTCATAGAGCAAAGCAAAAATTTTACTGCCGTTAAAACCCCTTGAATCAGCTGTATGCATAAGGGAAATTAGTTTTTAACACCTTGGAAAGCAGATTGAGAATGTAACTGAGCTGACTGCTAAATAAACCCTCAGGTAAACACCTAAACAGCTGAGGGAAAATGCGTAAATTATAATGACCAATTCAAGCTGTTTGTGGAGACTTTAATATTGTTAATCTTTCAAGTAATCCAAGGTGCACTCCAACACCTGTTATCAAAATTTAAGGCTTTTATGAACACCCTCTTACATACAAAAGGAGTATCAAACAGAAGGAACTTGTTTACAGTAAATACAAACATCTGAAAAATCTCTGAAACCTGTTTATACAAATACTAATAAATTCTTTAATATTTTGTACAACTAGAAGGTGCACAGATTGGCATTCAAGCAGTCAATGCTGGCAAACATCTGTCAGACAATACCATGATTTACTTGGATAACAATATAGTTTAAAATGCCATAAATTAAAAAATAAGTTAGTTCACATTTTTTTCCCCAGCTTTTATGTACATCTTAGTCTTTAATAAGATCGTGTAGCCTTCTTCAGAAGCTCGAGGTCTTTCCGTCGGCTTTTGATTGCTCTGGCACAGCCATACTCTTCCAGTTGTAAAGGGATATACTTCTCTATCTGAACGAGCCCATGCTCAGCAGGACCGGTAAAAAGCTTAATCCAGGATGGCTTAAAGTCTCCTCTGAAGCCCAGAAAGGCCAGGCTTCCTGTGACAGAAACAGCTCAGTGTTACTGAACCAGCCAAGCCCATCCAAGCACAACACAGGACCGACTGGGAAGGAAACGGCACACTGCTCTGGCATTCTCCCCCCAGATTATTCAGGATATTAATCCACTCTTCAGCTTCACGTGCATCTCACAAGGAAATACTGGTTTGCAATTTCCTTTTTCAATATTCAGTATTAAATACTCCGAAATCTTAATTTGAAAACACGGCTATCAGGACAGTGATAAAACCTGCTTTCTCAGACAGGACTTGTGCCAGGGGCTTGAATGGACAAGAGCTACCCCACGTGGCCTATAAAGTGATCATCCCTCAAAATACCAACAGCTTCTCATCTCTACCTTCAGATTTTGTTAGAACAGGAAATACTAGTCTGGCACAGGAGATTGTTTAAAAATAGATTCGCTGGGTGAGGCACAAAATACAGGCATTGAGAAAAAAGCCTGGGGTTCTTTTTCTGTAATCCACAGGCACAAAGAACTGCTAGTCACTTAGACAAGCTTCACACAGTGCCCTTTGGGGTAAGAGGAAGGGTTTTCTGCCCCATCTGCTGCAGGGCTGCTCACCTCACCCCCCCCGCTCAACAAGGACTGGAACACAGCAGCCCACACCAGTGCAAACTGGCAACCATCCTCCGCCAGCTGCATCCTTTTCACACACCCATGAGAAACCCACCATGCCAACATAAACACACAGACCAAGGCAGTGTCAAAGAAACGTGCAAAATTTCTACCAACCGTTGCTCTGAAGATAAGGCGGTTTGGCTGTCCCCAAGGACATTAAGGCTTCTGATAAATTATTGGGAATTGCTACATCACCTCTTGTGCTCAGTAGAACGATAGACCTGCAGCAGAAATGGTGCAGAGACAGCAGCTGTTACAAACACAAAGTTTTCTTAATATTCTGCTACATGCTTTTACAGCCAGCTGGCCTCATGGTCCACTTGCTTAAGAGTACCCATGCCATGTCATTCACGACATGGAAATAGTCAACCCTCTCTGAAAGTTGCGCCTAGAAAAGCACCTATCTAGAATTTTTTTTTTAAGCTTTTATATTTAACTTCAAAATCATTGGTAAGTGTTACTTAAATATAGTTTAATATTTTGTACCAAAAAATCAAGTTTAGCCATTGATCCAAAATTATAATATTAGAATGCTGATTTTTCCTCACACTAACTTTTTACCTGCAATTTTCTCCCTAGATAGGGAGAGAACAGTCTGATATCACACATTTCTTGTTGGTGTCCTTACGTGACCTTATTAATCAAAAGGTTATTCTTGTTAAAAGCAAAGAAGTGTTATTATTTGATGTTTAGTTAAAAAAAAAAAAATCTTTTTGAGGTGAAAGACAAGCAACACCGGAAAACTCTAAGTGTTCAAAATTTGAGTTGCTTTGTTTTCTCAAATAAGGCTAAATTGTCTGTTAAAATGCTCTTATGTTTCTCCTTTCCCCTCAACTTAGATACACGTTCTGTTCACTTTCAGTGCTCCTGTATAGACATCATTATTTAAATCCTCATTAGAGAGCAGAGCTACAATTTACATGACATACTGGAAATAAATAGTCATTACATGTACCTTTGTGGAATTCCAGATTTTAAATATCCATCTACATGCTTAATGTCTGCTCCAGAAAATAATTTTTTTCCCAACACTGTGCCAATGCAGGCATCAACTACAACAATAAGTATACCATTATCCTTGTAGGAAAACATTGTGCCATTGACCTGAATGGGATGAGAAGAAGAGAAAAGACGTTTTTCTTTCTTTCATTAAGTTAATATGAATTTAAACAGTGACTCTAGTGCACTCAGTGTTAATCGTCATCTAGTTTAGACACAGTGATGTACTAACTTTCTTACAAATACTTGCTTCTCCCTAGCATCTCTTCATTTTTCCCCTTGAGGGAGGCTTTCAGAGGGACTTCTGAAATTGCATAGGAGCCTTCAGTCCCTGGCTTCTACAGGGAGATCAGACATTTCAGGTGACTCACTACCTGCCTCGTTCATTGCTCCTCCTTTAGGAAGCTAAAATTCAGATACTGCACCACCTGGACTTCTTGGCAACAGTACAGTTACCTGTCTCTGCAGCAGCCTAATTCCAGCCCGCTTTCTTCCTACAGAGTGCTCTTACTGCTTTGGATACAGCACACACATTCCTGTAGAGGTTTGCAGCTGCTAAGGTTACACTGCTCACGTTCCATTTGCCTATCTAAATAATTGACGAGTGTTACTATTTCAACCAAGCTAACGCACTGACATTGAGAATGTAAGCCTAATATAGACTTCAAGCTTTCTGGTTTGAGGATGTCTGCAAGTGCTATTTCAGCATCACGTGCAAGTCCCCTTCAGCATCCAAACAGAAAAGTTTAAGTAAACTACTTTTTGTACAATATCACATCACTAGGCTTATCAAGACCATATCAGAACAAATACAGAAATCTCTGTGGATTCTTTAGTAATTGCCATTTTGAAGGAGTTTAGCAAAGCTTAATGGCTTGAATGACTCATCCTGTTAACTCACCAATCTGTTAGCACAAAAACAATTTCAAGAACATGGATTTAAATAATAGGTTGTTTGGTTTTGGTGGTTTTGGGGTTTTTTGTTTGTTTGTTTTTTTGTTTGTGTGGGTTTTGTTTTGTTTTGGGATTGGGTTTTGTTTTTTCCCCCAAAAGCAGCCATCAATAAATGCATATTTCAACATGAATCTGAAGATTCTGAACTCTCCCTTATTGGTACAATTTTCTCCCCAGCTGGAAAGGATTTGAATACAAAATGGAGCTTTGTAGCCTCATTTTCTGAGGTTAAATATCAGTTTTTTGACTGTTTGTTTTTTTAACTATGAACCAACACTTTTCATTCAAGTGAATAAAAGCCAGGTCAGCTTTATGTAGAGCTGCACAACTGTTGTAATACAAAAACTGCTAAAAAGAAAGATAGTTGGAAGAAAATCATAAAGAATACTTACAGAAATAAATGCTTGCTGACCTCTGCTTAACTCTTTTTTACCAGATGAATTAATCTGCACAAGGAGGTAGTTTTTGTGAGGATCGCTGGTGAATACGATCTGGATATCAAATGAAACACGTTAAGCACACATATCCCCATGTCTTCAACAGTTTATCATGCCAGACAGTTTACAACAGACCACCCATGCTCCAAAGCAAATGCATCCATTTGTCAATGGCATTATTTATGGTACTAGCAATGCTAATAAATATCATGATGTATAGTGTAACTCATTTTATTCCTTACTTTCAGTATTCTTCTCAGCTTACAAGCTTTCTTTTGTTTGTATAGCTAAAATGGATAATGCAATTTCAAGTTCATGCTAATAAGCAAAGATCCAAAAAAGAGAGAAGGTTGGCCAATAGCATATAGACCTCTGCAGCAAAGCTGTTCTACATGGAGTACAGCCAATACTGTAGCACAAGACATCAGATCTACCTATGTCCCTTCTCTGTAGCACTCAGAGTGAGAGGTGAAGCAGTATTTTTCAAAGAACAGAAACTGAAACCCTTGTGATACAAGGGACTCCCCACCTTCTAGCATACAGGAGATCAACAATGTGACCATTGCAAACTTGTAGGTGCAGTGTTCTGTGCCGGAAGACTGAAATTATGCCTTAAACCAAGTAGACAGCAACATCAACTCTACAGGTCATGAAAGTTTTTGCTTATTTTATTTTACCTGAGTTGTGCCGCATTTTGTACATGGTACAGTAGTTTTGACTGGCATCCGCTTGATGACGGTTGGTCCTTGGTAGTACTTTGGGTAAGCTTTTGCCATGCAGTTACTGATCCCTTTTGCTGAATCTTTGGTCACAATCTTGATCCTTTCACATCCCTGAGATGAGCAATAACTGTGACCATCCCTATTATATTTGGCTTGAAGAAATAAAAACAGTAATCTACACAAAAAGGGGAAAAAAGAATCTAGATCAACAGCTGGAAAGACAGGTATTTATGTTTAACCTTAACAGCTCTATTTCATGATTTTCAGAAGCAGAGACACTACAGTATTCACTTCTGCACCATTGTTCAAACTTTTTCAAAATATTTACAGTTTACTAGAGGTAGGAAGTCTCTACTGACATATCTGAAATTCCCAGCAATTAAAGGAGACATCATTATGAATGCATAAGCTTTGAAAAGAACAGCCACTCCTCAAATCAGCGGCTTGCAGGAAACAAAAACCAAACTGCAGAGCATAAATGTTTTCTTTGATCATAGATCTTTGCAGATACCCAGCAGTAACTGTTTAGATATTCAGCTTCACCCACCAGCACTGGACAATGTAATTGTACTGTTGCAAATGCCTGGAAATGCAATTTAGGGGGTAGTGGTACACAGAGACTGGTAATTCTATTATATATTTGACTGTTATCACTGTAGCTCTTAAACAAAAGAAACATACTTGTCTTTTCAAAAGCTACATTCATCTGCATATTTACTACAGACAGACAAAGTAGCAGTCAAGGGAACAAAATAAATAAGAGAATAAATTATAAATTAAAGATCAAAATTGGCAAAACACACAAGTGATGTATGTACTTATTTTACTCAAAGTTCAGCATATCTTAAACCTCTCGGATCTCAATGGCCTGCATCAGAAGTACTTTTGTAAGAGAGACTAGGACTTTTAAATACTTCTGAGAAGGCTGAAAACAGATTAGGATTTTCAGAAATACAGTCTTAAAATTATCTTGGAACAGAAAACTTCTTGGAAATTTCTAGAATTTTCAGTTTAACAAGAAGGCACAAATTGTCTTTGAAGACTTGGAAGTTACCTCCTGAAAGACACTGCTCTGGCAGCACACCAGATACCACATTTTCCCTGGGCACAGGGTAGGAAATATCTGTGGCAACTATAGTGCTCTTGGAAAAGTATTTCAGTGACAACCACTGTATTTTGGAGATTCAAAGTCACATGAAGCATCCTTTCAAATAGGCTTTGGGCTCCTTTGCAACAGCTTTCCTCTTACGCAGGTGTCTCAATCAGTTGCTTTCAACACTATCATACTGGACATTTTAAGGTTAAACAACATCTTCCAATAGGGTCAAATTACAAGGAGTTACCCAGTACTGTTGTCAAAGTAAAACTTCTTGTCTGATCGATTCTTTTCGAGCTCCATCATTGATGACACAGGCATGTAGCGCTCCACCTTGCTTGACAGAGCAGATGACCGCCTTTGAAAGGTTTCCAATACTATAACAAAATCTGTATTTGGTTGATAACAAAGACCGACACGAATCCAGTCATTCCTGAAAACAAAATAAAATGTATGATTCACTGTTGGAACAGTTTAGATGACAATACATGGCAAACAGAACACTCAAAAAGCCAAGTAACAGGAACACAAAAAGCTCCCAAATCCTCAACCAGAAGATCTTTCTTCCCCTCTCTACACAAAGTGTTTCATTAAATGTTATAGTAACTTTGATACTCTCAGGATATATTTGATTTTATTATTTAGACATTTAATAAGTTTATCTGACAACAAAATCAAGTATGCTAAATTATTAAACTCCAATTCTGCTCAATTTCACTATTTGCATATTTTCTTCTCCAAAGGATTTTCCTTAAAGACACTGTACTGGACAAAAGTTTAACTTTAGGTGCAGGTCTATTGCTTAATCTCTTGCTTTTCATACTTTAGTACTTGTAATTATGAAAAAAGAAAAAAAAAACAAACCAACCCAAGATCCAGTCTTACTGATGGTTGCAAACTTTCACACATGCTAATTCTCCAGGAAATTACTTCAGTATTGCCTTACGGATCAACGACATGAATGAAAGTAAACATACTTGTTGAAGTTAATCAAATAAAGATAGGTGACGTTTGGAGCTTTTCCATTCCAATGTATTGTGTAGCCCTTTTGGAGCATCACTACTGGCTGGTATTGTTGAAAGACAGCTCTCTGATTAATACCTCGAAGAACCATGATTGGCTGGGTACTCATCTCGTACAATAGTCATGGAAAGATTCTGTCCATTCCAGGTTTGGACATAAACCTATATGATATTAAGGAGGATGAAAAGAAAGAGGAAAGATTTATACACTGCGCAAAAGGAAATGAAATAGTGAAGAATAATCAGTACATTATTAGTCAAAACGCTGTAATTTGATGTTCCGAGTTACGCAATACACAAATATCTCCTGAAGAAGAGCCCTATGAGAAAAAATATTGTAAATTTTGCCCATTTTACAGATTAAAAAAAAAAAAAAGAGGAGGGAGGGGAAGAGAAAAAAAATAGAATCAGCTATGGTACTTGGCCAAACTCATATGGAACAGGAACTAGAATGGGAATCAAACCTATGTGAGATTTGTATTCAGAAGGTGGTATTTAACATGTCCATTTAAAAAAAAAAAAAAAGAAAAAGAAAGAAAGAACAGTACGTACTCATTTCCTAAAGATACAAGGAAGATTTTCTTTTTAATTGTTCGCAGTAAAATTTGATCTGCATGTTCTGATATTGTTTGGTGGTTAAGCACGGTTCTCTAAGATGAATGTTAAATTAAGTAGATTTTATTTCAACTATAGCACTTCTAATTTGAAGTCAATGGATTTTAATCTTAAATACATAGTCTGCATAGGTCCCACTGCAAACCACTCCACTCCATTCTGTAATATTAATGCATTTGGGGTGTTGAATCAAGTAGTTGTCCATTCTGCCCACATAGGTATCCTTGTAGTCAGTCACTGAACCATCTAGATCATGGAATATAGAGTTCTTGTCACCATCCAGATCTCCATCTTCAAACCAGGGACCAGGTTTTCCAAAGAAGGCTTTCAAAGAAACCTGTCAACAACAATTAAAATATTTATTTTCTGTCCCCAGGCAAAGCACAGACTAACACTTGCATACCTGCAGAAACACAGGAATTTGACAAAGTTGATTAAAAACCTTATGGCAAGGACAGTGGAATCTTGCAAAACAGACATTTTGTTTTGTAATAGGCCCAGGCTAGCACTTGCTTCTGAACAGTGTTAATATTTGCAACTGAAAATTCATTACTAAGGATATACCAAACCTTACAAAAATCTCCTTTCAGCTTTACCTTTAGCCATGAAAGAGATCATTTTTGCAACATATCCTACATCTCCCTTGGTATTATTTTTTGCTCAGGAGACAAAGGATGCACCTTGGGTGACTTCCAACCAAGAGAGAAACTCTGGAGTAGGGATGTATGGAAAAGATGACCTAGGGCCCTTGGATGTTTATTTTAAATACAGCAAGAAGAAAAGAAAGCCATTTGCAAGAATAAAAGAAAACTTGTAATAAACTTACATTCGGACCAAACTTCACAAGAGAAATGTTGTTTTTTGGTGTCATCTGCCATGGATTTTTCATCAAGAATCCAACTGCACTGGTAAATCTATCTGGAGTTGGCACAAAGTTTTTGAATGTGCACTTGGTAAGGTGAATAGGTCCATCATAAATTTGAAAGCCTCTGATTGGAAATGTCCTGTTAATGAAAGCAAATATTTATAGCATCCTGTAACAAAACCCATGATAAGCCTGAATCTGTGTCATAAATACATTTCCTCTCAGAGGAATCAATAAAGCAATATTAAGAGAATGGTTTGCAGGTTAAATCTTAGTAAAGGAGATCTTGTTTCTGCACTTATCTAATGAGTCAAAGAATCCCCCACTCTTTTGAATTTTCCTGTTAGAAGAACTATTGCTGTCCATTCTCAAATGTGTTCCTTTCCCAATACGGGAAATACAGCAGGAGAATACTACTACCTGCTCTTTGATTGATCACGGCAACTGGGAGAAGTGCCTGTAGACTGGAGGAAAGCAAATGTCACTTCTAACTTCAAGAAGGAACACGCAGGGAACTGCAGGCTGGTGAGCCTCAGTTTGATCCCTGGGAAGGTGATGGAGCAGCTAATCCTGGAAACCATTTCAAGGCACATGAAGGACAAGAAAGTCATCAGGAGTAATCAGCGTGGATTCACCGAGGAGCAGTCATGCTTGACCAACTTGATAAAATTCTGTGATGAAATGACCGGCCTGGTAGCTGAAGGGACAGAAGTGGACATGGTCTACCTAAACTTCAGTAAGGCTTTTGACATTGTGTCACATAAGATCCTCAGGAAGTATGGGCCAGATGAGAGGACAGTGAGCTGGACTGAAAATTACCTGAATGGTTGGGCCCAGAGGGTGGTGGCATGAAGTCTACTTGGAGGCCAGTAACTAGTGATACGTCCCAACACTGGGTCCAATCTTGTTCAATATCTTCATTAGTGATCTGGATGATGGGGCTGAATAAAGTCTCAGCAAGTTTGCAGAGGGCACAAAACTGAGCAGCTGACACACCAGAGGGTTGCGCTGCCATCCAGACAGACCTTGACAGGCTACAGAAATGGGCGGATGGGAACATCATGAAGTTCAACATGGGGCAATGCAAAGTCCTGCACCTAGGGAGGAACAACCCTATGCGCCAGTGAAAAGGACCTATGGGTCCTAGTGGAAATCAAGTTGGCCATAGGCCAACAACATGCTCTTGCTGCAAAATGGTATCCTGGGCTGCACTGGGAGAAGTGTTGCCAACATACTGGGGGAGGTGATCCTCCCCATCTATTCAGCACTGGTGAAGCCACACCTAGAGTGCTTGTCCCCAGTACAAGACAGACATGGAGCTACTGGAGAGTCCAATGAAGGGCCACAAAGATGATTAAGTGACTAGAGCATGTCCCATAGGAGGAAAATATTGGGAGACCTCAGACTGTTCAGTTTGGAGCAGAGAAGGGTCAGGCAGGAATCTCAATATATAAGAATCTCTGAAGGAAGAAGGCTGCAAAGACGACTGAGCCAGGCTCTTTCCAGTGGTACCCAGTGACAGGACTAGAAGCAATGGGCACAAGCTGAAAAACAGGAGGTTCTTTCTGAACATAAGGAGAAACTTTTTCACTGTGAGGGTGACTGAGCACTGGCACAGGTTACCCAGGGAAGCTGTGGAGTCTCCATCCTTGGAGATATTCTAAAGTTGCCTGAAAATAGTCCTGGACAACCAGTTCTAGGTGGCCCTGCTTGAGTAGGGAAATTGGACAAGATGACCTCCAGAAGTCCCTTCCAACCTCAACTGTTCTGTGACTCTGCTCAACTAGACAGAATACTTCATATATCACTGCCACATTAACTTCTTCCCTCTAAGTGGCTAAGCACCAAAAAAAATAAGGTGGCCTAGAACTACCTCACCCTTCTTTCCTATTCTGTGGCAAGGGAAGGACTTGGCACTATGTTCAACAAGCATTAAAGCAAGCCAGAGAGAAAAGAAAAGGATCAGGTCACAGACGGACTGTAGTCTCCAATTCTAAACTGACCCTTGAAATCCTTTTACTGGAAAGCTTCTTCTCTCCCTCTTCCAGGCCCAAATGTTGTTTAAGACTAAGGTTTCATTAAAGTAGGATAACATATATTGTTATGGAAAAGCGACCCGTGGTAGCATCAGATGAAAATTGACTCAGCAAAAAGGAGAGAGCGACACAGCTGCACACAAAGTGTTACAAAGAAAAAGAGAGCGTCACCTTCAATGGAGTCCTAATCTCTCCCAGCTCAAGCAAGAAGGGTGTTTACATCTGATACAGAGAGCATTTCTTGTATAATTTCTACTTCCTTCACTCACAACATACTTACCGATTTCTAGGCAGAGTGCGTGCCTTGTTGTCTATTCCTCCAGTTCCCGCATATTTATTTTGGCCACCTGGAAACCCATAATTCTTGCTCTCACCTATGAACAGTGACTCAGATACTTCCTGGCTGGCACCTTCATCATTTGGGAAGCTCCCATCACTATCAAAGCAACATCAGAGATAAGCGTTTAGCCAAGACTCTCCAGCAGATGAACACACTGAGGCATAACAGTCCTCCTAAAGCAGAGCAGTCTAGTCTTCATTTACAACACAGAGAATAATAAATTTAATCATTAACAGTATTACAGGCTAACCATGAAACGCCAGCAGAGAGCTAAGCATTAAATTTTCTATCTCCCTTTGTAGTGCAGAACTCCTCCTTTTACAGCCCGCTTTTGCAATCCTAGAACCAGTTTGTCATAGCCTAAATGGCAGCAATTTTGGCTTACTACCTAAGTTACTTGATTCTTTTTTATTAGAAAGAGACTTTGCCCCCTCTAAATGCTCATCCCCCTTCTCTTCCATTACTCACTTCCAACTGTTCAGGAGGAAAACCAAAACTGCCTAAGGAATCATACAATACCAAAAATACCTGGATAAACATAACCCTTCTGGTGAAGAGGCAGCAAATTGTGGTATAAACCAAGCACAGATTGAATTAAATGGCAAGCTTTGGCAGCTGTGTCACTTTACAGCCTTTATATCATCATCTGCACCACTGGAAATAGAACTGGGCCCAAAAATAGAACTACAGCCTTATGAAAGTATACCTATTAATTTTAATAGATGGATGTATATTTTCTAAGCTTCTAGGCAAGAAAACACAGATGTAATTAACATAAAAGTACTCACCTAGCAAAGGTCAAACCTATTCCATTGTCTGCAAACCTAAAAGAAAGTTCAAAGCTTCAGTCATGTTTTCTGGATTATCCTACAATAAGCTACTCCAACAGCACATCCTGCTGTGTACTGAAGAAAGCCTGAATTTTTCTATTAATGGGATTTAGAACCACCACACAATAACATTTATAAAAATGTTGCTGTTAAAAAATACCAAGTAATTTTTGATATATTTTAAGCAGGAACATGAGAGCTGCAGGGAAACCATAGGTATGTCAGTATAATTTACTGTCTCTAAAAATTTTTAGACTTCCTTTTATTACATAGTTTCTTTTTGCCGTTTAAGGCAGACTCTCATCTAATCACATCTGAACTTGTTTCATTTAAAATAGTGGGATGGTGTGAAAGTGGTTCAAGATATTGAGAAGTTCCTTGAGTTAATCTCCTCTTAAAACCCTGTTGTAATGCACTTCCATAAACAAAGCTTCAAGAGACACTTCTTAACAACATGCAGCTGTTTGCTTCCGAATACCTACCCAGAGTTTTGAATGAGGATATCCCCTCCCCTGACCCAGGCCCCATGATCATTGTTTTTGAAAGAGATTAATCTGTCAATCAGGGCAGCAACTCGGGGCTTTTCAGGGTCTGCATCTTGATGGGGTCGAAACCTGGGACAGATAAAAACCCAAACACTCAATATAAGAATACTGTTTGTTTTACACGCGTCATATATGCTGGGCTGAGAGAGCCTGAAATATAAACACTCATGCTCATCTGATGGGCAAAATCGACTCTGCTTCATGTTTGGAATGATAGAAGCCAAAACGAGGTGCAACTCTAGCTCTCTCTCTCTAGAAAAGTGTCTTTGGGGTATAATGAAGCAGGAACATAAGACTTCTCTTTTCCAGTAACTCTCACAGGCTTTTGCTCAATCTCCCTGAGTTTCTTTAGCTGCATCTCACCTCCTTTTGTCCCCTTGCTTTTTCTTTTTGCCCTCCCCGAAGTACTCCCTCGCCACTTGTACTGCAGCATTAATGTGCAAGTTTGCTGTAGGGAATTAAATCCTTGGAGGGATACACAGGGCTGACATGCACTATACAACACTATACAAAAAACCACTGGAGGTTTGTCTAAATGCTCCTTCAGATCTTTCAAACTGTTCTGACGTTGAGGAGTGCTCCTTCTTTGAGCACGCCTAAGATATTTTTCTATTCCAATCCAGAGACTCCGCATTGCTACCAAGATGGTCTCATACGGTAAGTTATGGCTGGAACCTATTTTAGACAACAGGAAGAAACAGCCTGATTAAAGATGGTGGAACCTTTCACTTGATTATCCTCAAGATCCCAGAGAAAAAGTAATACATTAAAACAACATTACAAAAATGTATTTTGAGTGGGTAAAGATATACATGCCCCTTATCCTGATCACCTTGTATTCCAATTTGGATCTGCCCTGCCACCCGCAAGGGGAGGAAGGGGAGAACGGGTGAATGTTTGTCTTTGACAGTCTCAGGTTCCTCAATTAATGTTTAAAACTTCTCCAGTTTGGTTCCATGTACAATGATTAGCAGTTTCATATAGTTACAGAGCCTCATTGCTTCTTTGCCTGCTGTGAAACATGAACCCCATCTCATGCACTGAGTTTCTCACATCCTCTGTTGATGCCCTGTCAACACGCTAGAAGTTCTCAATTTTTTTTTTGCCCCTCATATGTTCCTCTTGACTACCTGTTATGACTGAGGTAATCCACAAGGGTTATATGTGTTTTCTGTCAAAACTTCAAACTAGCAAGTTCATTTCCAAATCATGAAGTATCGAGTATCACCAAAATTGGGAACTTTCCTCTCTGCATCTGCAACTATCACTTAACTATCCTCACCCTAAACACAGGTCAATCAGAAATAAAGATAATCTTATGAACTATATTTTCAGTCTTAATGCTTTGTTGTCACAATAAAATGTTGACACATACAGTTATCCAATATTGTCATTTGACCACTATCCCAGGCTATTTAATTTGAAGTTCAGGACAAGACTAACCAGCAACAGTATAACCTGGAATTTTCACAGACTCTCCGTTATTTTCTCTCACTTTGTAAACTAAAGAAGATGTGGTTGATTGTACTATCTCTGCAAATAGCCTTCAGTAAAACTGTACCACTGAGCTATGATCCCCAAGTCTAGAAGGTGCAGCAGGAAGCATTCTGCAGTAGGACAGGCAAGTGGATGTATTACTTGGCTCTATTCAGCCTTTTTCTAACAATTATTTAAAACTGAGTCATAAATCAGACGAGCAGATTTTGCTTTTAGCAGCAATTCCAGAAAATACTTTAAGCATGACAGTAGAGCATGTCTTCTAAGAGGCTGAAAACTACCCTGGGCAAGGGCTCTGAAGAAACAGCCAGCTCCTTTAAGGCACACCATACTCTGTTGTTTCCAAAACAGATGAACAAATGAGGGAAAAGAATATATATGAACTTACTGTTCCGTTATTATTTACAAATAATTATACTGTTTTAAAAATGTTTTTCCTCACATGAATGTAAAACCAATCTCAGAACTTTGCCATTTTTCGCTCACTTGAAACACAGTATCCTTTACCTTGCATTGTTGTCCAAACAAAGATATTCTCTGGGATCATCAACGCTAGCATTAGTTGTTTTAACACCCTTATCAATGAACAAACCAGCCTGAAACAAGCAAGGAAAGAAAATTCATGCTATCCAAAACTAAAGATAGAATAAACATTAAATTTATAAAATTTAAACTTCACATTGCATTCAATACATGTATTAGAAACTCTTAGGTCTTTCAGTTTGGCCTTAATGGAAAAACAGCATCTGTCTATGCAAATTTGGACAGAGGAAAAGAATTGTCTGGGATTAAAAAAAAAAACCACACCTGGAAAATCATTAAAGTTCATTTCAGATTTCTTTCACAACATCTAACTATTTGAGGTTTTACACTTATTTCCAGATGCTGTTCTGGAAAATCTGGAAGCCAACCTGGTGGTGAATTCAAAATATCCTCACAAATGGGGAAAAAAAAATTACTGTGAAAAAGGCTTTGTATTTCACTTTAAAAACTAAACTACCTTCACCACTGAAGCTGCTTTTTGCCCAAGCAATCATCAACTTGAAACTCAATAATCCAGTATGAAATAATTTACTTGAGAAAATAGAAGCAGAAGGAAGCATTTGTGTTATTTAACCTGAATTACATACACAAATATCTCCAGCTGCTTTCACCTCTAATCCAAATTACAATTACAATCGAGTGCTCCTATACAAGTAGATCCTCAGACCAGCTAGTGGAATTTGCTCTTTTAACATGGAATTTTAGCACACAAACTCCTACCCTTGTTTAAAGACAATGCAAGCCATACAGCTGAAACACTTTTTTTCTTTACAATGCACTTTTGTATTCAGTATGTTATAATTCCAATCCGAACAAATGCCCTACAGTTCCAAACACACCGTTAACACCACTTCTACAAAACAGTGCATCATTTCTTGGTATCCCAGACACCCAACTGTCAAGTAAAATCAGTTTCACTTCATAAAAAAAAATCCAATAGTGATCCTGAACTTTATTAGGTAAACTTCAAACACACATAAATAGTTGTTAGGTAGCTTTGTAAATGTAATTATTATTATTATATATATACACACACACACACACACACACACACAAAGCAGCTAGATTCCAAATTAAATCATTAATTTCAGGACTTTAACTCCACTTAGCTGAATGTGGAAAAAATACTAAAGTCACATTAGTAAAACAATACTGAATGCCTGTATCTAGGCTGATAAACTGTTGCCAATGGATGGGCTCCTGAAGCAACCTGGGCAACCTGGAAGCTTAATCTCTAGTCAGAGACTGTAGCACCATGTGCAAACACCTGAGTTACTGAACATTAGAGACTGAGGAAAACAAGTCACAGCTATTCCAGGAAGTTATTAGATGAATCACAACTGTAATAAACTTTGATGCTTCAAGTGTCAGCTTTCTTCAGAGTAGAAAACAATGCCGTCAGTAAGAGAGTAGCATCTGAAATGCTACTTCTGAGAAAATGTATTTCTTTAGAAGTATTAATTGATTTTAATTGTTTGTGCCTTACAAGGACATTAAACACAGTGAATACTCAAAATGTGTCAAGAAACTATACACATGCTGATTATACACCGTTCTACAATACCTAGGTAGAATCATGCAGTTCAAACACAGCATGAATCCATCACCTAACCAGCTTAAAATGTAAACAGACAAGTGCTAATACAGAATAAAGAACTTCAAAATTATTTTTTTTGTAAGATAATACCTTACCTTAAAATTAGAATGAACCCTGTTGTTATAGAAGATTCCTAGGGGTGTAAGCTCTGACTTGGTTTCAATGGCTAAACTATGAGAATCTCCTGTAGCAACCCTGTGGAATAAATACCATATTCCAGCATCCTGCAAGTAAGGAGAGAATGACACTACTTACAAGTGAGCCTGATACTACTATCAGTGGTGATGTATCTAATTACAAAATAAGTGTATGCTAAGTTGAACTTGGATATTTTAAGTAAGGAAGCGAATAAGAACATAGCCCAAACCAACTGTGCATAATGGAATATATTTTTCAAAATAAAGTCTCCAAACAACTGCCCAGTGACAAAGTACAAGTTTGCAAATAAGGCTATAATCTAGTGAATAATATGCATTAAAAAGTGTTTTGCTTCTCAGTGAAGCCACGCAACACCAGACGTTTTAAGATCCTCTAATATTTCAAATCAGAAAAGTGTCAGAGTTAACGTAACTTTTGCATTTCAGTTATATTTCATCACACACACTTGATTTTCCTTTACTAGTAAATCATACCATTTACAGTAAAATACTCAAAACCCCTCTTCTCCTCCTTACTCTTACAGTCTGACTAAGGTTTGTTCATCTCTGCTTACACCAGAATTTAATGACACAGCCAAAAAACCCACAAGAGCTTTCAGAAGAAGGGAAAAAAGCACATCAAGAAGTCTGGCCAGTTCAGAGCACTGTGCCAATAACATGCAGTAATAATTTCAGCATCTGTTCATTTTCTCCACTTCTTCAACATCCCTGCTCTTAAAGAGCTGGATTTATCTGCTAAATGAGACCCACAGAAGTTTGCCTTTCAACCACATCTGGGTTCACAAGAAGTGGCATCGCAATAGTACCTGCATAGCAGATACCTACAAACACGAAAAATTTTGCCTGACCACATACTCTGTGCCCTTATAAAATAAAATCATTGCATAAGGCACATCAAAGGGTTAAACAGTAGCTAAAGAAACACTGTGTACTGAGTGCTCCATCTCACAAAAAATAGTCACCATTCTCCTGTTCGAAAAATGTGGATAAAGCCAATTCACTCTGGCTTTAAAGATTTCATGCATTTCACTCTGAGAATATACTCATTTTCCAAACAGTCCTGGAAATTCTGCTTCTCAGTAACATATTCCCATCCGTAATGATGACACACTTTGACATCTCTGGTGATTAATAACTCCAAAGCAAATGTGGATGTTCCATTAATAAAAATACCAAAATCTTACTTCACATATAATTAAATACAGCTCTGTGCTTGGCAGACTAATGTAATTTTTATCCAAAACACATCCTGATGCTTGGAAAAAAGTTTAATAAGCTTAAAAGCTCCTTCAGCACTTGCAAGCGTTCAGAAAAATGAAAAAATTACACCCCCCCCATACAGCTCAAACAAAAGAAATATCTACTGCTGACACACCCTTACAACAGGCTTCATTGTGTAATGAAGGAGCTGGGGGGAGGGAGGGCAGTGGAATTATCTTATTTGCTTGTGAATTGTTATAGTTTATCCCAGCAAAAGCTCTACGGTGCAGTTTGTATCAACACAGTTGAAGTATTTTGTTTCTGAAACATAGTAAGTTGTAGTCCCTTTATACCAATGTGTTTACATTCCTGCAAGGGAGGTGTATCAAAGTGGCAAAGCATCATAACATGAAGAAATGCTTGCTGTGACCGCACACATTCTGGTAACAAAAGGAAGTGACATTTACTGGGATACGCTACAGAGCCAGAAAAAGACCTTGCAGGTTTTAAGCACGAGATCAGAGAAGCCATTTCCTTTAACTTAGCCTGCAAGGCTAAAATAAGGTGAAGGATATTACATAAAGTAGGCAAAATGGAATGACATTGTGTTGGGAAGAGAAGAATTGTTTTGATTCGATAAGTGTGTCCAGACCCTTAGACAGCCAAAAAGAAAAGTTTGTCCAAAAAAAAAAAAAAAAAAAAAGCCAGACCACACAAAAAGCAGAACAAAATTTTCAAAACTTTTTTTATACTCTAGGTATTTCAACTCATTTTGAATCCTGTTCTATTAACAACAGTTTATTATGTATTCTGTGCCTAAGAATACACTGACACACACTCACGTTCTACTTCTACCACTGGAGCCTTTGCAACAACAACAAAAATAATCTTTCCTGTTTTCCATTCCCACTGATCTCTTCAGAAAAATCCACTCAAAACCACGCACACTGAAGCCTCTCATCCAGTGTAGAACAGACTGAAGCCCCCTCCCTCCACATTCTGTACCGAGTAGTCCAGCTTTACTTCGCAAGAAGCTATGACAAGAGATTTGCACTAATATAAGGTTCACAAGAAGTAAAAACATATCAGCAATCACTGATGGGAAACAAACGACTAACGACGGACACTAAAATTGTTCTAGCTGTTTCTTACACAATGCACATTTTTCATTCCAATGACTATAGCTACGAAGACAAATCTTGCAGAGCAATCACACAGTACACTCATGACAACCTACAGAAAATACAGAAGGCTTAAGTTCTTGGAAATAGAAGTATTTATTTCTACATACACACATTGACACTATTGCCAGGTCTATTAACTACGAAGAGGAAGACACCTCCTCTGTTCCACCCAGAACAAAGATTTTTGGCATCTCTTAAGGGCACACCTGGACAAACCACTTGTAATGCACTTGTAATGCCAATATGCCCCTAAACTTAAAAAGATACTCATATATAAAAAAAGAAAAATTTATGTATTTTTGGCAGTGTAAATGTTACAGGTTTTACAAATACCAGTGGCATGACTACTTTGTGTTGAATTACATCCATACACCTCACCTGTGAACCTGCTGCTGCATTATTTATAAGATGATTGTTGGGATGAGCAATCCAGAATGTCGAAACTGCCCTGAAATATTATTCAGAAAGAAGTTATTATGGAAAAGCTCTAGCTCCTACAGAAATATCTCCCCTTCATAAACAAGCACATCAGAAAAAGCTAAACTGATGTCTGAAGTCACTACTTCACATATGAAATAAAAATCGCAACACCGCCCCCCCCCGCCGTAGAAGTCAAAAATGCTTCTTTTTTTACTTCAATGCACAGTATTTTATTTAACATTGTCCAGATACTCTGTGCAATGATAAGCCTTTTTAATAAGCTTCTACAGGAGACAAGTAGTATGCAGAAAAACTAGCGGTGACAACTTGAGAATGTGCATGTCTTTACACCGACGTAAAGATGCAGCCTTAAAAGTCTATTGAAGAAGTATCACAAGAAACAAAAATCTTCCTACACACCATCTTATTTAATCTCTAACAAAAGACTAAATGCCAATTTTTTTTTTAAATACCACTACTATATGAACTACATTTAAGGTGTCCACATTCATTAAATTATACATAAAACTGTTCCCATCTGTATAGTCAAGAGATCATCAGCAGTTTAACTGCTGCAGCTGGTTTGGTTTTATTTGTTCACCGTGAAATACTCACATGCAGTCTGTGGCTGGCACTGGGACATAACTTCCATACACTTTATCCCTAATACCAATACACATGCTGCTGTTCCTATCTGTAGGAAGAAGAGTGCCTGGTTTCGTGACTAGCCCAAGGTTGTGGAACAAAGTATTCCTCTGCTCAATGCCATCTTCTGTGAAGAAACAGTGACCTAGTGTGTCATAGCCAATGGTGTCCTTTATCTGCAGAAATACAAGTTCATTATGTCAGTAGCAACAGCATTTAGTAAGATTTATTTGACAACTACCATTTAGTTTTACTATCTTGGCACAGCTGCAGAGTGAAGCTTCAGTATCAGCAGTTCAGATGATTCAAGCATACAGTTTTATTTATCCCTTACAAACACACTACTATGTCTGGAGAGCTTAGCTGCCTGGAAGAATCTGAAAAAACAGAATGGTAAGATCTGTTAAAAGTAAGTCACTGTTTGCACTTCCTCATTTATTCGTTGCAATAAAAAAAACCATTGCTGAGCATTTAACTCGAAGAAGTGAGGGAACTATTTCTGCTCTAAATGCTCTTTATAACATTTATTTCAACACAGTATGATTTACTCTCCTTGCACCTACCAGCAAGCCATTAGTTGCATGAACAGTCACACATCTGGAAAAACAGTGATGAATGGAAAGACCTTCCAGGTAAGTCTTAAAACTATAACCTCCTTTTTCATCCACATCCCCACAAAGGTGAAAGTGAACAGGGTAACTTCCAATCTGCTGCTGGCCCATTTGCTTCAATTCCACATAGGAGAGATGAACAGATGTAAAATTCTTCAAAATCTAAAAATATAATGAGAAGTCCAGAATGAATAACCAACTATTTGCTTTTTAACCAATGGAAATTTAAGTTAATACATCATCTACAGCAGATGTACAGAAGTTAGATGTACACAGTTACCACAGGCAAACACAATAAAAGTTAGAACAATAGTTACTGTCTTGTTCTATATCCTGCCTTACAAAACAGTATCCTTCATAAATAAGTGTAAAAGCTAAATCTCTGTGTGGCTAAAACAGGGCAATTTTCACCAGACATGTTGCCACACTTTACTGTTTGGTCTTTACCAGCTGGCATGTTAAATATTCTTTATGTACAACCACATACTGTCCAAATAAACAGAAGTCACCCACATCAGCTCCTGTCTATACTGAAGCTGTACCAGCGTAGCCCACCTGGGACAGGCTTAGTTGAATAAAATCACAGAACAAAACAGATTCAAAAGGAACCTGTCAAGACACGTGGTCCAATCACCAGCTCAGCACAGGGTCAGCTGAAAGACAGCTACTCAGCACATTGCCCAAGGAATATCTCCAGCCACAGAGATGCTCGTATGATGTCAGCTCGTTCTTCCCTTTCATTTTCCTGGTATCTAAGCAGAATTCGCCTTATTGAAGCTTGGTCCCATTGCCTCTTGTCCTACCACTGTGCACGTCCAAGAATTGCTCTGGCCTCCCTGAGCCCTCTCCAGTGCCTGAAGACAGCAACGAGATCCCTCCTCTCTGCTTTCTCAACACCAAACAAGCCTTGTTCTCTCAGCTCCTCCTCACTCATCATCGGGTACTCCCACACACCACCTTCACTGGACGTACCCCAGCACATCTACATCTTCTTTGCAATGGGAAACCAAAACTGGACACAGCACTCCGCAGGAACTTCTTTATTAAGGAAGATAGGAAATTGCCTTCAGAATTGTACAACTTCACAGTAACACTACCTAATACAAAGTAAAAACTTAATGGGGCTGCACCAGTAATACAGGAAAGCAAAAGTATTTTCTTCCACCTAAGATGCTACGAAAACAGAAACCAAGTGCAACAGCTAAACTGCAAGGACCTAAGCTGAGAAAAAAAACTTTTTAGTTATGTCATTAACTTACCTGTACTTGGTATTTATCAAAAATAACCATTTTCATATGTACTTTGTCCTCTAGGGAAATTAGTAATATGGACTTTTTTTCCCCCCTCCTCTAACTGCACTCCTAAGGTTTGTGTGCCTAAAATATAGAGGGATGGTCAAAAACAGGCATCCCTGAGATCTCTGACCTTAACATTTAAAAGCACTAATGCAGTCATAAAACTACAAACCAACGCCTCTCCTCACTGCCACTAAGCCTCCTTTATGCTACTGTCCCAGGGACCAGTAGAAAATCCAGGATGATCAAAACCCCTGAGGCCATTAACATTTGCTAGTGCCTAGGCTCCCTCTGCTTGAGCACACAAGATTAACATAAGCCGAAAATGCTTTTAGTGCTGAAGTCTAGGTTTGGCAGCAGACGCTCAGTTACTCTGAACAGTCTCCTGGGAACAGTTTAACAACTTTGATGACTCAAAATGTTTGTTTTCTGTTCTATCTTCCAGACATCTGAGGGGTCTGCTGTATTTCCACTATTGTGGCCATCAAGGTCACGCTTTGCAGGATTCACAGCTTGTCATTATCTTCTTTCATTACATTATCTTAAACACAAAAGAGTGCCTAGAGCCCACCTACTTCTCTTCCACAAAACAAAAGCTGCCACACAGTAGGGAGCTTGCCCGCCATTATGTCCACCACTATAAAATTAAAATCTGCATCCGAATATATTAGAAAGAGAGATTTAAACTGTGACCAGCACATAATGAGCACAAACACATTTGCATTTAAAATACAAGGCCTTAAACTTCTCCAGCATCAGTGAAGAACTGATACACTGCTGCTCAATCCTTTCATCTAAAACCATAAGTGAAAAGGAGTTTAAATATTAGTTTGTATAATACTACTTTCCCTCAGCTTTCTTTATGTTTATGGTAATATAAGAAATTAGAAGCAGTTTCCTTTACATAACCTTAGTACTTTCAATTTTTAAAAAACTAAATAAAAAACCACCATGGTCCAACTCAGTTTCTTTCCTCTCCATGTCCCTCTAGTGCCCAATTTCAGATGAGGCAGATCTCTAGGATTCAATGCTCATTGCTTGGGGATGTGAGACAGGCAGTGAAAAGAGAGAAGACAGAGAAAAGGGAGATCAAACTTTATTCTGTAATATTACAGGATGCACATGCATGGACATCACTTGTAAGGTTTAATCCCTGCCATACCATGTTGTAATATATGCTGGATACTTCTGCAACATTTCACACATTGATATCTCTTCCTCTAATTCTGCAGATTAAGTCTTGATGAGTTAAATTAATTTTGGGAAAGCTGAGAATGAAGTCATTTCTACACAACACAACTGTATGAATTGATGTTCTTGGAGGTTTCAAATCCCTCCAAGTTTAGCATTAATCTTTTTGTCCTCAATATGCCTTTACATGGCAGAAAGCTACTTTAAAATGTTTTTCAGACCTTGATATGTCCACCAAATGTATCGTAATTGAAGAACTGACACTCCTTTTCACGATAGCAGGTATTTTCTGTCTCCCCCTTGATTAAGATGTTCCTTGTAAGAACTCCGACTTCTGCCCTCATGTCCACTCCATCAATAACTTCTCCTACGTGAGGAAACTGAGGATTCTCTGTCCAAAAAAAATTTTGAAGGGGGGGAGGGAAGAAAAAAAAAAAAAAAAGAGTTGCCATTGATATTAAAACCAAAACCAACTTATTTTATATAAGCAAGCTAATTGTAGCAACAAACCCCATGCATTCTGATACCTTAACATGCTGTTCTCTCTTACCTTTTCTTATGCTAAGGCACACAAAAAGCACATAATTCTTGGATGATAAATATTAACCCAGCTAACACCTAGCAAATTCACCCCTTCCAGACTAAGGCTGACTCAATGATAGTTAAGAATCTTTCAGGATGACAAATCAAGTATGCTACTCCATGTTTCCTTCCAAAACAAAGTGCTGCCTATGTATTTTTCATTTTACTAAGACAACTAATCCTAAACAAATCCCAACATTTTATTTGCAAGTGCATCTTAATTTCAGTCCAATAGTTTGTGAACAGAATGGATAAAAAACAAAGAAAAGTTTAAATGAATCCAAGGTATCTAGAAAACTTTTAATGAAACATAGATGCAGATTTGCTTTAGAAAAAAAAAGATGCTGGCTGCTTAATCTGTTCTGAAGAAAAACTAAGAACTGAAAATGAGGTCAAAACATCTTTGGAAAATACTGTATTCATCCCTCTCAAACAAAAAAAGATTTACTTTCCTAACTAAATTTGCACTTTCCTAGATAGCTATTCTGAGGATGCATATCTCTTATTTGTCTACTCAAACTGAAAAAATTATCAGGTCCTGTAAACCTTAAAAAAAAAAAAAAAAAAAGGCATTTATGCGTTTATTTTTAAAAAAGATCTTTTTCTCTCTTTTTTTTTTTTTTTCCCCTTTTATTGATTCCCTGAATACAGACTTGTCACCTCAAAGCTTACAAAAGGATACAAGCCTAAACTGGTCATTACCACAATATGAAGCATAACCAAGAGTGGTATTAATTCTGTACCTGCTGTTGAAGATTTAAAAAGACAATAGATGTCTGTAAATGGGACTGCACTCCTCTCCTTGAAGTCTTACCTATTGTTTTTCCCTATATTTCACTAGCATACATAAATCAAGCAAAGAAAGAGCAACTAGGCCTGCTAGAAAACAATACTTTCTAGTTTTCCTACTACAAAGTGGCCAAAATAGCTAAGAACTTAGCAAAAAATACAAGAAATAGTTTCAAAAGATGGTGAGTTCTGCAGCATGTCAAGTTTGCCATTCCACAGAAAATTCATTCTTTGTGGAACAAATATATTGGGTGGTTTGGGGATTTTTTTAAACTGCATCCATTACTATGACAAAGGAAACTTGACATTGGGGGTGAAAAAACCAGGATGGGCCAGTTCACCTCCTTTAACATCTTTTAAAGATCTATATATAGTGCAGATAGCATTCATTTTAAAAAAAAAAAAGCCAGGATTTTGTATTTTATGTCACATTGTTAACCTTGTAAAAAAAAATTTTTTTTTAAGTCTTTAAAAGCAGCTGCTTTTCCACAGTACATGATTTCTGAGATGAGACTGAGCTTGCACGTACACTATTCCGTAGTGACAAAAACCACCTTAAACTTCACACTGCAACCTTCATGTTAAGCTTGCTCTTTAAAATACTGTGCTCAATAACACACACAAGGTGAGACATTTAAGAACAAAGCCCAGGAAGCGTGATGCTCAATGGCACTACGTCAGCTCTGCGGCTTCACACACCCTGGTATTCTCCGATGCATAATAAGGTGAACTTAGATACGCTTTTTTCCATATCTAGGACTTCACAGTGCAGTAAAACACGTCTGACCTATGCTAACGAATGCTGTGGGATGCAAACTGCACTGCAAAGTTGACATACAAACTGGCAGTCCCTTAAGACACAGGGAGAACAGGAAAGTTTGAGGGCGTTCACAGAAAATTTCCGAGAACGGACAAAGAGAAGAGCGGCTTGAGGAAGAGGAAGTCGCACCGTACAGAGGTGAATGGGACAAAACCAGATCCTGAAGAGCACTGACCTAACTGCAAACTAAACACTGCAAAATGACACTAGTTAGTTTGTGCTACAAACTGATGCTGGAGCCCACCAGAAGGGAGCGAGAGGGGAAGCTTAAGACCTGAGGCCGGTGTAGCACCAGGAAGGAGGATGCTGGCATGGGGGGAAGCACAGAGGGGCAGAGGGAAAACACAGATGCCAGCAGAGCAGGGGAGCCAGTCCCACGGGAGGCTCTTCTGAAGTCAAGCAGAATGACTCAGATAATAAAAAAGGAAACTGTCAACAACATGCATGACCATTTTGCGTGCATCACGCCCAAAGGAAAAACAGATTGCAACTGCTCAGGGATATCCTGTGTGAGCAGAGGCTTGGAAGTGCCACTTATTTCATAACCGTTTTGCTGGTGGGGGGTGGAGGGGGAACTAAGGAAAAAAAAAACAAACCACAAAACAGGTTCAAAGATTGCCATTTTCTTTTTTCTTCCCCTTTTTTTTCCCTTTCTCCTTTCTTAATAACAACAGAAAAAAATATGATAACACTTCAAAAGATGGGAAGGGCACTAAAGGCAAAGGAAATGGTAATGACCACAACAGCCACTCAAGCACGCATAAAGAGAACTAGTGAAAAGACAAGAAAGGAGCCAAGAAAAGAAAACAACCATAATCCTTTTGGAAGAAAACTAAAGCGTTCAATGAGCCTGGGAAGAAAGGAGAAAGAAAAGTTAGTACAGAAAGCTGTGAGGCAGACCTGACATTATACAGAGCAATTGTAAAGCAAGGAGAAGTACACATTCCTGTATTTGGTCACAAAGCAATAGAGAGAGAGACGAACAGGCTGTTCTTTACTGCTCCTGCTAAAAAAATTGAATAGTCTGTGCTTCCAACCACAATCCGGTCTCCAGGCTCCCAGCTACTAACATCATCCAGAAGATTTAGTATCACTCCACCTACAGCTTCTACCTGGAAGCCTGAAACTGGGACACCTAATTAAAAAAAAAAAAAAAAAAGTAAACGCAATGTAAGATTATATCCACCTTCATATGAAACCTTCTCCAAGAAGATACTAAGAAATGTATGAGATTTTACAAGCTCCAAAGCCCTCTAAAGTACAATTTTGCTCTGAAACATGCCAGTGTGAGATACCATTACAGCCTGCTTCTTTGGTGGATCTCAAATAAAACAAATGGAAAAGATGGAACTAACAGTGACATGGAAAAAAAATCTATTAATTAAAAAAAAAAAAAACCCAAACAGCAATATGACATGGCAACAATTTGTAGGTCCAGCTACCTTTACTTGTTTCAAGTGACATTTTTCTGCCATTTAAAACTCTACAGATGTAATCAAAGACGTGGCAAAACAATGTAGGGGGACCTTCCTTTTTATTCATAATTAGTAAAACAGTTTGGTAGGCTAAATTGCACACACATGCTATTTCACTGCCTTGTGATGGATTTGCATAAGTTCAGCAACTCTTCCTCACTCTTGACCCTAGCTCTACAGTACCAGCAAGTAAAAGATGTATTTTGGTGGATTTTTTTTTTTTTTTAATATAAGTCTACACATTTTCATAGGGCTGTAACGAGCAATAAAGAAATAGTATCATAGCTCAATTACTTAAGAAATAAATACCTGACTACCTTAAAAAACTCTTCTGAGGCAAATACAACATTGCTTAGTAATCCTACAGACAGAAAAAGATGACTGCCCATAAAAAGCAAAACTCAAGATCAAAGATATCTTAAACACAAAAATGAATAAAGGATAAAAGTAAATGAGTGGTAGGCCTCCCAGGCTCTTTATACCACAGATTCAACTTGGTATGAGAAAAGCTGCCTAAAGTTCAGCATCAAACAGCAACAGAAGATTGTAACAAGAATAAAACGTTTCACTTGGCTTCTACCAAGTTTTCTTTTTAGGATCATAATCACCATCTCAGAAGCTTAGATTAAAATATACATGACTGACAAATTACTAAAAGAAAAGAAAAAAAAGTCTGTCTCAGCCTTTTATAAGACCCCTTATCTCTATCTAAATATATTGAAAATGAAGACTCTTAATGTTATGCTGTTCACACACTGTATAGAAATAGACTGAGTAAATAAGTCATACTGAAGAACTGTGTCCTCATACTTCATCCATAGCAGAAAAACAGAAATACCCCAAAAACTTACAGCAGCACTCAAATTTAAATTGCAACCAACAGTTCTAGCAAAAAAAGCATAGACAATATTTTTTACTACTTCTCCAACTGCAGGATTTCACAAAATGCTTTCCTACCATCATTCCATTCGCTGTAAGCTCTCACAACAAACTTCTGACCATCTACTGTGAAAAACTCTTTTTGAGCAAGAGCTTTCCCACCAGTGCTGTGATTTTCATAGTTTCTCACTGATTCATTACAAGAAGAATTACCACCACCTATGACACCAACGAAAGCCCAGGCTTGCCTGTGAAAAACAAAAGTAAATGTTTAAATATAATGGTCCTTAACAAATTCTTCACAAACAGGTAAAGGACAAGATAAAGAGCACAGAAGTCATGAACAATCCTTTTGCTTGCTCTTCCAAATTAATTTTAAAATCCAACTTCAAAATGCAGAAGGAAAGTGAGCAGACCCCATTGAAAAGAAACATAGCTTAAAACAATTGGATGTCCTATATACAAATTGGCAAATACAAGAGCTCTCTTAATGGAGACTTTCAGATACATTTTTAGTACAAGACCCAACAAGACACACTTTTTCCAAAAGCAAATCGCAAGAAATGAGCAACAGAAGTGATACAGGATCTTACACCCAAACAGCTTTACCGGGGCACAGGAAGACTAGGAGCCAGTGCTGACGTTCCTGCCGCAGCCCGTTGCCGTCACGGCGCCGTGGCAAGCGGCAGCCAGGAGTCCCTGGAGACCATGTGTGCATCAGCCCAGGAGGGCTGAACACAGCCAGCAGCAGCCGCTGGCAATCACTGTACTGGACGGGGAATAGCTTTTGAATCTTTCAAGATGCTCAGATCCAGAAAAGGAACCGCATACTGTTACACAATCTTTGCACAAGGGGATCACTGAAGTTTCTGAAGGCTGATACCAAGGATTTTTGCTTTTTTCCCCATGCTGGCCCTGCCCTCAGCTGGATGCCTACTTGGCTGAGCACCAGTGCGGAGCAGGGAACTGTCCTAGATGTACTTCCCCTTCCTACAGCTCTGCTCAATGCATCCAAGTTTTTGGAAATGAAAAACAAATCACACAACACAGAAAGCCACCATCAAGTTCAAAAAACAAGACTATTTTGCAGTCCTTTACTGCTCTGTAATGCCATAATTATGTGTGCAGAGGAAGCAGTCCAGATCATCTATTAGAAAGCCGAACAATTTTGCAACATTGAAGTTGAATCATTTCACCCCAAATGAAAACAGCGTCAGCTAGCTGGAGTGTAGTCTGTTGGTAATGATTGATTCAAAGGCAGGTATCAAAACCACCTTCAATCCAGTTGGCTTTATTTCAGTTCCCTCATGATGTTCTTACTTATTGGGATTAAAAGGCCAAATGAAAGTGTTTAGTGTTAACCTGTTCATAGGAATAGTACGTACTGGGGCAGCTTTTCAGTAGCAGCAGCAAACAAGCTGAACATTTCACATACCAACATTTAAAACAAATATCAAGAGATTTTAATGCATGCTATTTTGCAGGAAGAGGGATGTAACGAAGTGTTCACCTCCATGCCAAAATCTCTTTCGCTACCTTTACAGGCTTAACAAAACAACCCTGCTTTTCCTCAGTGAGCACTCGGGGAGAGCTTCTCGCCCATCTTCCACAGCAGAACACCACAATTTTATGTGCCTCTACTGACTAATGAAAACATACAAGAATCATTTCAGCAGAGAAGGAAGAAAGGCTGCTTCTTGCCAGCTGCAGGCCGAAGACGTTCCCCATTTCAGACAAACTGGCGTGGAGGTCACGGGCAGAGACGAATGCCAGAAACCCACACCCCTTCAGGCCAGGTTCGGGGCTGGCTGCACACTGACCTGAATAACTGCCACATGGGCTTCACTGCTTTCAGGAGGCGGCACTTACTACAGGACATCCAGGTCTCAGCACCTCTGACCAAACTGCTTCAGAGGCAGTGCTGCAAGTACTTTCTATCCCATGACCATGTGCTTACACAGCCACCGACACAAACGTGCTCCTGACGGGAACCAAGGTCAGAAGATGCCATCTGACTGACGTCCCAGCCTGCCTCTGCCAAAGCAGAGGGAGGAAACTAACTGGAATCCAGATGTTGGGGCGGTAGCGAGGGGTAAGACTAGAACTAAAAAATTAAACGACCAGTTTCCTGGAAAACAGAAACAGGTCATACAACATCATCTTAATGGAAGCTGAAAAACAGCCTGACAGTTAGTTAGGAGACTTGGTGTCCCCTTCACTTGTATTGCTAACACTGAGCAGCACAAAGCCAAGTTCAGAACCTGTACTGCAAAAAGTCATTTGCAACAATTAAATGAACAGCACAGCAGTTTAAGTTTCCCGCTTTAATAATTCCTATTATACCTCTTCTTCTGTCCTACCATCCAAACCCTGACCAACTGAAAAGAATGCTCAAAAGATACAGAAACATCTTACAAGTGTACTTCAATAACAAAATACTTTTACAGATCAGTTCCCTTGCAGAACAGTGGAGGGGTAATGTACTTTCATTTCAACAGTGCACAGGTATGAATAAGATGCTGTTCGATATACAGGATTAGCATCCCTTCCCTCTATTCAGTTTCTAGCTTGTCATTCCTTGCTCCTCCAAATATAAAGTCATATGCATTAAAAGCTACACCTAGCAACTGTTTTCTATCTGTGTGTTTGAACGAGAAAAAATTCCTCGCTGCACCCAGTATTAATTTCTGTAAAGACAAGTGAAAGAGAGCAATTATGAGTAAGTAATAAAGCCTGTCACACAGATATGTGCAACTACCAGTCTTTGCACACTGAATACTACTACTGCAGTACTACATACAACACCAAGAATCCTCTGAAGACTTTAAGAACAGACACTGTCAAAGTTTAATGAATCCCCCAAAGGTGGCAGAACCTGTATCTAATCTTTACTCAGCACAAAAGGGAAAAATAAATTATTTACCTGTAACTCAATCCTCTGACAAATTTACTTCCCAGAAGATTTTGAATAGTCACTCTGGTTTCCTCCAGTAGATTTTTAGCAGCTGAATCTCCTACAGCAATAGCAACAATGCGACCAGGACTTCCATTTTTCAGTAAGTTCTGGAGCTTCAAGCTTTCCTCTGAAAATTCATGCGTATCAAACTTCAGCACTTCCAAAATCTCTGCTGTGTCCTGATCGATCACTCTCACATTTAGTCCCCGGGAAAAATTCTTTTTAAATGTATAATGACCATAGGCCAGCCCTGAGAAATACATAGTCTTTGACAGAAGAGTCCATGATAACTTCTGGTGCCCGTGCAACTCCAGCGTTCCTTCAGGGCCCACGCCAATAAATTTTTTGCCAAATTCTGGCACATCAGCACCTTCGTTTGACTTCCCATACAAAATAATAGTTGCTTTGGATTTATAGCGGCATTTCTCTGCTCCAACATGAAGCATTCCACCATCCTTTATCAGGATAAATCGAGTTCTCAAGGTAATATTTTTAGAACCTTCTTTATCATCACCAAAAACAAGTAACCCTAAAAGAAAAAAAAAAAATTTCTATAGGTCAAAGAAAAATTCAGAAAGACTCACAGAACCAAGTTCTACAATAAGAACAACAGAAAAATTACATATTTATTTTCCACACCCACGAATTAAGCTGTTATGCTGTTATGTATGTTTAAGAATATTTGGGAAATTAACTTCTACCAATTGTGATTTGTCTTTCTAATAATTTGGTCAGTTTGTTCCTAATTTTTTCTGCCATTTTGGTAGAATTACTAACATACCACAGTCACCATCAGAAGACAATCAGATCTTGTACAAGGAAGGCTACTACACAAGTCTTGTTTTACTATATCCTACAGAAAACCACATCAATGGTCTACTGAAAAGACTCTACAGTGTTCATTCATCTTTTTAATGATATTCCTGGCCTGGTAGCAGGCTGAAAAGTAAAAGCAGGGGAACTGATCAATAAGCTGCAACATAAAATTCCGACACATTTTTCATCTAATCACAGAAGTAAAAACTATGCAGTAAACTGAAGCATGATGTTCATCTTGCCATTTCATACCTCCATCCTGTATAACTATAGAGTGTACTGTAGCATCTGAGTTCAGACGAAACAAATCCCCTTTTTTGATAAAAACTCTCTTTTCAGGATCTTTTCCAGGGCTCCAGTTTTTAAGACGAGGATTCTGATCAGGACAATTCTCTGCAATACAATGTGAAATTCAGCTTTTAAAAAAACAAGTGTCATCACATCAGTCAAGGCAGCATTAGGATGAACACAAGCAAGGCAGAGTCAGTCACCATAGAGGATTCCCACCTCCTTCTGTGGCTATAAAACTGCAGCCACTGATGCTACTGTTTGTATTCGAGCAGCCAAAAAGATACCTGAAAGGCAGCTAAACTCTCAAGGGTGGGAAGGCATTTTTATACTGAATTAAACTACTGATGACCACAGACTGAACTCTCAACATATACTGTTGACAATAGATACTTTCGAACCCCATCTGATTTTTTTTTTTTGAGATTTTCTATATCACCTGCAGTAGATGAGGAAAGGTAAGTGGGAAGCACTCGGATCCATAGCAGTCACACTGAGCACTGGATATCCTAGGCCAGCTACCTAGGCCAACTAACATGGTTGTAAAGCATCTAAATCTCTCACCTCCCTCAAGGTCTCTCCATGTCTGAGAAAGGCTGATCCCTTCTTGCTTTTAAGCATCCAAATCACTTCTTTCAGTGTAGTTTTGCAGGTAAGGGATAAAGAGGGACAAGACATCCTTAGTATATTTAGGATAATACCTTTCTGGTTAGAGCAGTTTCTTGGGATACATGACATTTGTGTCTAAACTCACGGTGTGTATTCCTTAGGATGTCAGCTTAAATATCAAGCTACAAACCACATGAGAGCAGAGTCACATGCAATCCTTGCTGAAACCCTGCTGAAGGTCTGGCACTACAGGGGCAATAACACCATACTACAAGGCCAGAAAAAGAGAAGTGACAGGGTTTTGTGATTCCAGATGAAGTTACAGCAATGTAGTATTTACAACATGCACATCTTTAGCATATTAAGCAGCTGAGTAATGCAGCAGCATAAACATACTACAAAAACAGAAACAGGAAGTATATTCCTTGATTTTCTTACCAAAAGTCAGACTGAAAATATTTTTCTTAAGCAAAAGACAACCAGAAAGATGCCAAAATAAACAGGTTAGCAGCCCAACTGAGAGTAACAGTCGAAATAGCCTTTTCACACCTTATCTTCTGGAGAAAAACACCCCCACATCTACAGTGCAACTTTGAGGGCGAAAAGCTAACCAATAGCCCATTCTTGCAAAATCTAAAAAAAGCGAAACCTATCCACAAGTTTAACACAAGCCAGCCTTAGTTTCGCTGACAGAACTGTTTTTCCTTTGGTGTTACTCTCCACATTTCAAATCCTTTCCAACTCAGGAAACCCACATAAACCAAGATTTGACTACCAATGGGAAAAAATTAGCAGAACTGCATAAGGGCAAAAGGCATCCAAGTAGTAATATAAAAATAAAAACAAAAGAAAATCTTTTGGGGGGATCCTAAAAAGATAACATTTAGAAAATGAAATTCAACACATGAGGGAGAGCCAAAAAGCAAGAAGCACTGCCATCAGCAAGACTGTTGAGCACTTACCAGATAATGCAAGTCTGTTGCCTGACTCATGCAGAGTCACTAAACCCCTTCCCCCAGACACCACACACACAAGCACTGTGAAGAAACACGTATTTCCTGGCTGATAGCAAAGGGCAATATGAGGAAACCATGAGTCAGCAACTTGATGATTTCTGCTTAGCGTTATTCACAGAAGAGAAGATCTAGTAACTGTAATTTTTTCTATTGAGTCAGAAAGAAGAGGTATAGCACAATAAGTGGAAAAAAAAAATCTATTGTACATCACAATCCAGCAAGGAAGCCATCAGCATCAGAAATAGGCACTCCTGTAATGCAAGCATGCTTCTGAAGCACGGTGGATGAACTTTTTGGCAAGCAGATCAGATGTGCTCAGCAAAAGTACTTTGAAATTCTCCCTTAGCAATTGCAGTGGGGCACAAGAAAACATAAAATATTTAGTACTTCACCATATGTTACCTCCAAAATCAGTGATTAGATTTTACAGACCACAGTCATTGCCTCTACAGTTAAGGTTAAATGAAAACAGAAGCATAGGCCAGAAAACGTTATTTAACCACTCATGTTGAAAATTTTTCAAGTCAAGCCTCTGCTTCAGAGCATTTCTGTAAAAATGGGTCAGCTCCTCTTAAGGTTTAGTTGCTTCCAGTAGAGTTGGGGGGGGGGGAAGTGATATCTCTGCCAAAAAAAAAAATATTCTAGAACCTTCCATGTATTGGAGCAAGGATATGAAATTTGGCAGGAGAAAAGGCAGGAAACAGTTCTCAAGATATAGTTAAATAGTTCCTTTCTACCTGCTTAGCCACCAAGTCTGGAGTTTTTAAGGCCTCTGGGAAAAAGTTATCAGTGTTATATTATGCTCAGCAGAAGTTTATCACAGTTTGGCAGCTAAATTTTCTGAGGATCCTGTTTACCCTGGGCAAACTCCAGCTGAAAGCTGCAAAGGCCAAGCAGAACTTTTCCCTGAAAACCTCCCCAGCTTCTCATCCTGACCCTCCAGCACAAGGCCCTGGAAATGGGGAAGGAAATTGCATTTCCAATGCTCTCCCTGATCTCCAGTGTTCAGGACTCCTTAGAAAAAAAGATGATGACAGGAAGATAAAAGCAAGGAGGAAAAAAGAAACCAGCTGACAGGCAGGAACAGAAATGCAGACAAGTATCATTTTCCCTTTGGGGAAGGTATGCCGGAGGTTTAGGATTTACATGCAATTACTGCTAAGTCTCACATTCCCTCCACCGCCTTTTAAACAGCCATTAAAAGTACTGACAATATGGATTTCCAATTAGCCCTTAAGAAGAACACACCTAGCTGGAACTGGTGTCATTGGCTGCAGTACCGCTAGGTTGGAGCTTAGCATGCTAACATTTCAACCTGTTGGGAAACTTTTGGGGAGTTCCTGCAACAACTGTACTATAAGATTAAAATTTCAGCAAGACTTTCCTTAGTGCCTGTAGGAGTTTCTCTTGTGTCAGGGTTTCCAAAGGATTCTATGGGTGCATGTTGGTTTTTTTTAAAGGATAGTGCAGGGAAAATTCAGAAAGACACAATGCAACAATTAATGCTGAAAACTGGTCTGGACTTCCATCAAGAAGCAGTGGGATGTTGCGGGAAAGCAGTCATGACCTTGGGTTACTCCTTAGACCTTATGTAAATCATTATCGTAGACAAAAAAAAGCCCGTCTACTAGATCACAGCAATTCTTCCCGAAACATCCTCAATATCGCTGGTGATCCATCAAACACATGCTGCCTATGCATTCAGTGCAAAAAATCTGCACAACGCAATGCCTCTGGAATGAGCTACTGCAGATGAAGCAAAACCATTCCAAAACCACTTACATTTTCAAAAAAGGCAAGCCATCTCCTTCACATTATCAGCTTTTAAAGCATAAAGGGACTATTATTTTACATATTCCACAGCATACGGTAACACCCCACTTCTACTAAAATCATCATCAAAATCTATAACTTTTAATTAATTAATAAGTTAAAGCCTTGGTATCAAAGGAGAAAGGTTTTTTTCCCCTCTCAAAGTACTTCTCAGAGTCAACTAGATAAGTCACTCTTTGGCCTCCTCTTGAACCTGGCTGTAACCTAGGTTCTTACTCCAAATAAGTACCCCGGTTACCAGTGATCTGGATCACAACATCGCAAAAACTTTCCATTTACTAATCCCTCAGGTATTTTTGTTTTCCTTCATAATTATTAGGAAAACTCAGTAACTTCACCCAAGAAGAGATCTTGGCAAGCCACCACCAAGAGCAATCCAGTTAGGTGTGTGCATTCATTTTGTACTGTCATTTGATATCTTCAGTTGATCATCTAATTTGTTCAGCCTATGTTGCATTGACTTTGAAAACAGAATCTTTTGAGTTACTATGCCAAAAGCCACTGAGGAGCCTAAGTCTGTTGTGTTACAATAGCCAACAGTTTCAATTCGAAACCCTGTTTAGCTTTTAGAAATCTGACTTCTGCCTTAAAAAAAACCTAAAAAGCAAAAACCAAAACAAAGAACAAAAAACAACACAAAACAACCCATGCTCCAAACTATACCACCAACCTTCAGCAACTGCACCTAATAGCAACTCCGAGCAGTATTTGGCCAGATGGATGTATACTTAGTGATCAGCAGTTAATCACATCACCTGTTCATGCTTTATAACCACTGATACATTTGGGAGGTTTTCCAAGTTCCATGAAATTAGCCCAGTTTTCTAAGATGAGTTGAGAATAAAAAAAAAGATCACAGCTAATAGGTCCAAATGGTCCCTGCCCAATTTGTGTATAAACAAAGCAAACACATACTGTTGGTATAAATTCTCACAGATTTTTAAATGTTTTTACTTGAACAATCTTTTACTACCTTCCTTAGTTACTGCTTAAACAGACAGGATTGCATTTTGTCTGCAATTTGTGAATGTATCAGACAACTTCTTCTGCAGACAAAAATAATTACACTTATTCATACTTCTGTCCCCCTCACCAACAGTCTTTATTTACTGCTATGCCTTTTTGCTTCATGTAAGTAAATCAAATCATTCACAGTAAAAACATATAAAAATGACACTGATAACAGAAAAAGGAGCTGATCTTAGCCACCAAACACTGCTTCCCTCCATGTTAAAATTGCAGTAAGCGTCCTATTTTTGCACTTAACTTTTAACACTAATCCTGATCTGAATTATTGAATTATGTTTACAGGGACCATAACTTGTAGGATGATTTTGTTTGCAAAAGAACTTACCATCTGGAGCATATTTTGAAGCTATTGCCAAAAAAATCCCCAGTGCAACAAAAAGTGAAAGGCTAGAAATAGCAAAGCAAATGAGAGTATTTTTATGCCTGTTGGCTTCTGCCTGGTGGCGATGCTGATCCACTAGTAAGGACGGGAGTCTTGTCCGGGCTTCTTGTCTTGCAGAGGTAAATTCGGCTGCAGCATGGCTCTGCGAAGGCGGTGGGGGACGGAGAGGGGCAATTCTCCCTGGGACGTACCCCGAAGACCTGTGACTGCTCCCGTTCTGAGGCCGGAGGAAAGCAGGGGAGCTCCCCCTGGCATCAGTGTCTTGCATGTTATAAAGTCACTGGAAGATGCACACACACACACACAGAGGGGGGAAAAAATAAGAGAGAGGCTTTCAGAATACAGAGTACCATACATGAAAGAAAAAAAGAAACAAACAAACAAGCAATTTTAAGCCACATGCCTTCTTAAGAAGAACACCCAGAGAAACTGTGGCTATTTATCAGTCACTCAGTCGCTACTGGTCATTTGCCATGGTATAACAGCTTGAAACAACAGTATATATATTTTCAAAAAAATTAAAGTCAAAAGCATCTGGTATGGGAACACAGTACAGCACAGACCATTTCCCTGTAGTTACACTACATATTTTTCACAGTGTTTTCACAGTTAACTTGTATTATGCGATTAAGAAACAAGCTGAACAATGAGAAAGCTAGCAACCCCTTCTTCCCCACAGTTATGCAAAGAATGCCTAAATGTATTTCTTCTGCACACAGAAGCTGAACAAACTCCTCATTGTTTTCCTTTATGGAAAAGAAGCTGAAAGAGACAAGCCTTCCTTCCACACTGGAAGCAGTAAAAAAGCATTTAATACATAAAATACCTAACACAATTTCACTTGTATTCATGCTGATGCAACTTAGTGAACGCTTTCAATTAGCTAAGGCATATGGAGCTAACAAACTCTCAATTTACTCACAGTGGGATTTGGTTGCTAGTAAAGGTGCATCAGGAATGGTCCTGTAAGAAAGTCATCTGCAATTTGTTCAGCAAACCTCGTGGTTTTTCTCATTGCTGAGATGCCTGGGTTTGGACACAAAGCCTGGAAGCAACGTGACTGCTCCAGATCTCTGTACCTATCACCCAGAAGTGAGTGCTACTTTTATTTCAGTTACTACTATTGTTTCTATCTTTTACTGAAGCAATCAATGAGGAAAGCCTACCAAAGACATCACTGCCTGGCCCATCCTCACCAGCAGTTTAACTTACCACGCTTTTCTGGTTTGCTTTAAGAGACGCAAAACTGCATTCGGCTGTTTTCTCAGGCTTTCTGGTCAACTCTGTTGTATGCAGTATTCACAAAGCTGGCATGACTTTTTGTTTTTTTTTATTAACATTTCTTAGGGATGGGATTTTTTGAGAGGGCTGCTCAAGTTTCAGTTAACTGAAACCTAACTTTCTAAACTAAATCCTGAAGGAAATTTAGCCATAAGTCATGTGTATTAAATAGCAAAATGAATTATGAAAATAAAAACTAACAATAATGGGAGAGCATAAAGATCCTCTTTCTCTTCCATTAACAAAGGGAAGTCTGAGCAACACTCTGAAGTGCCAGGCACGCTAGTGAAGGAGAAACGTGACAACTGTAATCTTATTCTGAGAAGTAGCAAAGGAGCCTTTTGTCTCACATGCTGCAAAATCTGATACTTCACTGTTTCAAGGCAAAAGACTTGTTATTATCGAACAGGCTGGATTACCCTTTCATGGGAGACAATGCATCTCCAGATGTATGCATAATGACAATAAAGGCACTGAAACATTAACTGGAGTAGCCATCCCAGAGTGCAAAAATTACGCCAAGTCCTCCAGCAGTGTCTCGCACCTGTTCGTTGTAGCAAATTGATTTTCACCATTCTCCTCTCCGTTCTTGGAGAAGCTATTTCCCAAACCTAATCCTCTGCTCTCAAACTTAACTGCCCAATGCATTATGAGCGCTGTGGAACAGCTTGCTTTCACCACATGTGCTTTTACACTCAACTAGTCATCTTTCAGCAGTGAAAACTCAATCATTTCTATGTTTTAGAAGTTGTGTTAAAAGCTGAGCAGAGAAGGAGATTTTCAGCTAATTCAAAGGCAGTATTTATGTCTAGCTGAAAAAAATACTTAAGTATCTTTTTGATTAAAAATTTAAAGAAATCTAATCCAGCATTGATGTTGTTTTTATGGTTTGGGCCCCAACTCCTTAAACTTGGTTAAAAAGTTTTCAGATACGGCATTTATCTATCACACTGACAAAACAACTACAGAGTGTTCATTATAAAGTGATACAAAGAGTTAAGTTTGTTAATTGCTCAGCTACATCAACTAAATCCAGAATGGTTATGCAAAATTTAACTTACTTTTAAAAAATAATTTTACAACAATTTTGCCTACTAAGGCCTCTTAAAGTACTGCTAGCTCTTTAAAGAAAAAAAAAAAAGTCATTCATTACAACAGACATCAAAAACACGTGTCATATTTCAAGCATATTTTATTTTGTACAAAGCATTCCGCCTTGTTTGCAAGCCTCATTTTGGAAACTGTAAAAGTTTTCCAACTATCTCACTCAAGTATTTTACCACAATTTTGCCTACTAAGGCCTCTTAAAGTACTGCTAGCTCTTTAAAGAAAAAAAAAAAAGTCATTCATTACAACAGACATCAAAAACACGTGTCATATTTCAAGCATATTTTATTTTGTACAAAGCATTCCGCCTTGTTTGCAAGCCTCATTTTGGAAACTGTAAAAGTTTTCCAACTATCTCACTCAAGTGAAAACACAGGTCACCCCAAGGATAGGTGGAAAAGAGGTTGCAGAATCACTGCCTTAGCCATTACAAACTAAAAATAATGAAACAAAGCCATAAGAAGATACTTAGCACAATCAAAAGATTTACTATATAGTTTTCCATTACAACAGGAGTAACCATTTCAACACTTCCTTCCCTCTTCCTGTGTTAATTTGAAATTCTCTAGCTGAAAGAAGGATCTTTTCTATGCTGTAGAGCAGCCACTGACTCTTCTTTAAAATTAAGACACATTGATAAACTGATTCAAATTATTGACTTGTTTATTTCCACTCTGTGGAAGTCTTCAGATAGCACCACACAAATGCAAGTGTAGTAGTTGGCTATCTGGCCAGTTACGCCCTGGAGAGTGTGGTTATTTGGTTGCACAAATAACAGTTTGAGTAAAATGCAGGGGGGCTGAAAATCTGTCTCAACTATTTAAATACCACCTTCCCGTGCAAGTTTCCATACACTTGAATTTTTCCATGTAACACTTTTTCTTTCTCCACCCAAGGTTTGCCATTTCCTTTTGACCTGTGCCTGTGCTGTGTTCCTTTAAAAAACAAAGGAAAACAAAAATGTTGAGATCAAAGGCCCCAGGAGACCATTTGCAATTAAAAACACCAGAGAGGACTGGCACCTGTCACCAGGATTTCCTAAACACACAGAAGCAGGAGGTCTCCTAAAGGAGCTCATGATCTGGGCACCTCCTCCTGACAGTGCAGTCCTAGACAAGAACACCACCACTTTTACAGTTGTACTGTAGTATACAGAGCGATGCAGTATTTTACTGTACAGCTTGCTTCACAGTGATCTCAGTAAAAGTCAAGTTCTTGCACAATATACAATTGATTACCTTACCTAACAGAGCTATACAGAATTCAATCTGTACAAATCTGTTATTTGCCATGCCATTCATGCAGGCTGCTATCTCATTATCCTCAAACTTTTCGCCTTTCAGCCTTCAACAGGGTATTATGCAATATTTTCAAATCCATTATTCACCACAGCTTTTAGTCAGGGCCACACATAAGTATGAACGTCCAGCTCACCAGTACTAGGGAAGCTTCCAACACACGGATTTGGCTAGAGCATCTTGTTACCACCCATCTGCTGGAAGGCTATGCTATTTGCATGTCACTCTTTTGCAAGAATAGTGCTACTCCCCACAATCCAGATTTCTGTTTATGCACCCCTTCCCACAGCATAAGCAAGCAAGCACTTCTCCTACTCATCACAACAGCCAACTCAGCTTCAACCACCTTAAAAAAAAAAAGTTTATTTTGCAGAGCATCTAAGCAAAACCAGTGATTACCTGCAAGTCTGGCTCTGCCAACAGAGCATCTGACTGTATGGACAGCAAACCCCAGCAGGCAGGCAGCAACGAGCTACTGAACAGGCGGCAACATCTCCAGTCTCCTCATGTGTTCCTTCACCACTTTTAACTTGTGCCACTATTACCCACTCATACAAACCTACTCCGTTCCACACTGGCAGAAACTAGAAACATATGCACTGTACAACCAAGGGATAACATCTGAACCTCCTGAGATGTGAGCGTGCACTCAGAAGCAAGCAGCGGGCTTATCTGTTACTCAGTTTGGGGCTGGTTTCCTGGAAACGAATTGGATTCTTTCACGAGGTAATTCAAAACACAACCTGACACCACCCCAAACGCGGGAAATATGTCAAGATATTTCACACTTCCCTGCTGTCAAATGGTTAGTGTAACAAAACACGTCAAACACATGAGAAAACTCCCGCACTTTTGCACCTTCTCAAAACTTTGTAAACAAAGTACGCTTACTTCCATGCAGTGCAAAGAAATTAATGCTTGCCTTAAAGCATATTTTAAGGATGCATAGATCACAGGTCTTAAAAATAAAATGAAAGAGATACTAGAAGAAACCCCACTTCTGTTGCTGTGGGCTATCAAACACTATCAGCTGTAGTGCTGACCTATTACTGCACCATTTAATCTCAGAGTATATAATTGCCGTTAAGGAAAAGACTGAGGAAGGGTGGGGGAAAACCACAAACATCAAGAAAAATATTCCCCCACGCAATACAGCGCCACATTGGTTACTGCTGTTCTCCTGGCACAGGCGCTTGTCTCGTATGAGATCAAAGCGCAGTGAGAAACCCAAGAGAGGGGAAAGGGACAAGAAGTCAGTATTAAAAAGCTCCCAAGTAGCTACAATTACTGAACAGAACGTGGTGTAAAGCGAACTCCTAAAGTATGACGTGCACACCTTTACAAGCCTCCAAGCTGGTCAACTACAACAGAGATAACTAATTCCAGAACAATGTTTCAAGTGCCTTAGAAGTCTGCAGTTCAACAAGTCTTAACCTCATCATTAAGAAAATCAGTGGTTCCCAATAGACACATTGGGCGTCCACACGCTCTCCTATCTGGTTCCACATTTTCTTCCACTGCCTTGTTTTGAAATTACACCTATTCACTATGATAATAGACAGCACTTTTGTAGGAACCTACT